GTCCCTTTGCACAGGTGGCAGATATCGGCGGCTGGATTCTTAGCTATGGGTCGATGGCCGCATTGGACAAGGCTCTCGATTCAGACCCTTGTGCCAACCACAAGTTCCTTGAACAGCACGAAGCCTTCATTGCTCGAAAACTCGCCAATCCGTCAATGCGCATCAGCAAGCTGGACACAACTTTCCAAGCCGAGCAAGTGGACGTGAAGGAGACGAAAACCCAGGGCTTCAAGAAACCCAAACGAAAATTCATGACTCTGGAGGTATATGAGGCGAAGCATGGACCGGCCGATCCATCCAAAATCAAACTCCAGAAAATCGACGGCGCCACCATCAAGGGCATCGACGTGATGGATGAGGCCGACGTCGGCGTGTGTGAGTATGTTGACGAGACAACGAATGCTGTGACTCGAACGACCTCGCTATCAGACCCAGACCTTATCCTGTCGAAGGACCAGACCTCGATCATTTTCAACGCCGTGGCGAAGCAAATGACTTCAACGCCGAAAGACGACATGTCATGCACATTGATCTATGGATCAGCTGCTTCTTCATCGTCTGGTACAAAGGTGTCGAACGACTTTGCTGATGGCGGCGGTGGGGATAAGGACCTGTGACCTGTGTGTTGTTGGTGGTGTTGTTGTTGTGGGTGTTCTGTTCTGCCCAGCCATGCCTTGTTATAGCAACCTCCCAACTCGATGTGTGCAGGACATTTCACTGCCAGACGCCGATGATGATGAGGATGATGAGGAGGTCCATCCTTTCGCAGACTTGTTTGGGCGGTTGAAGTCATCGGTGGCAAAGGCGAAACCAGCTCCGGCTAAGCCAGCGGGGACCAAGCCATCGCCATCGGCAGCCAAAGCCAAGGGCTTGAATCGGAACAAGCGGGGGACAGATCCAGATGGTGAGGGTGTTGCGCCAACAGCTTCCAACAAAGCAACCCGTGTAGCAGCTGATCCCAAGCCAGGACAAGACGTGTCATTATCTCATGATGATGAAGAGAGTCTTGCTAAATTTACGGAGCAAGCCAATGCTTTTCTTGACCTGCGAGCGGTGGACGCAGACGATGATGCGGCATTCACGGCATGGTCTAAGGACAAACTTCAGTCGATGATGCTCTTGAAAACACAGATTAACAACAAGAAAAAATCATTGAACCGCCGCAGCAACAAGGCTAGCAACTTGGGCCCCTCGCTGGATGAGCTTTTGGTGAACCTCAACACGATCATCGACTTTGTGCGCAAGCTGTCGGCGGGCACGGTTGAAGGGAGACGGTTGTACGATGCCATGGGAGAGATTGAGGATCTGCTTGTGTGCTCAACAATTTGGAAACGTGTCCTCAGGGCAGTGGCGTTCGATGCATTGAAGTTGGCACAGTGGGATACCTTTTTCACTGAAACTCATGAGTTGTGTGTCAATCATATCGTCGACCATGCCATGTTCTTCCAGCTCCTTGCCTCACAGTTGCTGCAGCGCCTCCTCAAAGCGATTCCCATGTGCAAGCCCATCACCGGCGAGACAACGTCCTACATCAGAGCTTTCGTGTTGGTTGCCATCAATCACAGCGCCAAGACCCAATCCACCGGGTGGACCGCTGATGATCATCTAGACTTTCTCAAGTCTATCAAAGACGTGGCCGATTTCTCCACCCCTCCAACTGTGGTCAAGAACGCAATTGCCAGGTTGAAAATGGATGATGGTGGCGAGAAGCACTGGGCAGCATCGTCTTTCCAGCTGCCACAAGGAAAGAAACTGTTCGAGGCCGCAATAGCAAATGCAACCCACAAAGAGTCTCAGGCCGGTGTCTTGGATGTATTGCACCATGCAGAAGAACACCTCGAGCGCTCAGGACTCTGCACTTTTGAGACACCCTTCATGGTGACTGTGAAGTCATGGTTCAATGCGAGCCATGGGGACATGATATCTGAATCCTTGCGGAGCCTGACAGACAAGAAGATGAAAGTCTTGAAAGGTGCCGACAAGGAGAAATTGGATCGTGTTCTGCTAATGGCAAGAAACGGTGCAGTTGCTATCATCTTGGCCTTTGTCAACTTCGAGATGCTGCCCTACATGAACACCTGGGCATCAGAACTTCGTGAAAGGAAACCATCGACTGATAGTATGATGTCTTCATCATCTTGTGTCATGCACTTGGCGGATGCGAGCGGGCACGGGCAAGAATCTTTGGTTGAGATGATCAAGGACATTGCTGCATTCATGACTTCGACGAGTGAGAAAATTGGGTCGTCGGATACGACTGCAGAAAACCTGAGCACATTGCCAACAACATGGGCTGTCAAAACGAAGGCCATGATTGCATCTTTGGCAGCTTGTGCAGCCAAAGCCGCAGTGGGAGAGCAAGCCGATGATCTTGTTGACCGTGCCAAGTCTGCGGTGGCTGATGCTGGCTCAGCGCTGTCGAAAGCGTTGCAAGATGGGG